AAGAATCATCTATTTTACCAGGATGATATGAATGATATCATGATGATATGAAGCTTGATAGATGCCATTAACCAAAGCCACACGGACTCCTATCTGTAAATGACTCATACAGGATCACAGAATCATAGAATGACTTGGTCTAGAAGTGACATTAAATATCATCTAATTCTGACACCCTTGCCATGGGATGCCACCCTCAAGATCACTTATCCATAATGAAGATGACATGAAGCAACAGCCATAATAGAGTCCAGTGCACTCCAGAAGTAACAACCACATCATGAGCACCAAAGTGTTTCAAAGCACTTCTACAAATCCAGCAAAACAACAATGAATGTGTCCAAGGGAACTGAAGAGCTCACTGCCACTCTTTAATTAATTCTGGATGTGCAGATAGGCATTGGGCTTACACAATTATATCTCTCCCTGAGAACACCCTAAATGTGGCATCCTGTCATATGAGCACTGTTACACCACAGGAATCACTTGATTTAATGGACATGTGATGGCAAGATAAACTGATGAAGGCATTCCTAGAAATTATCCCAGTGATTTACTGGGATAATGGAAAATTTACTGGGGACCATGATGAAGACAGAGTTCTGTCTAAACCCAGCAATAAGCAAGCAAACCATACATGAATTTTGGCATAACCTGCATTCCCAGGGAAAACAGGTATATCTTGAGGTTACTGTCTGGCCAAAATCCAGGATCCAAAAGCTACACTTTTTGCCCCTTTCAGCATTACTGCCTTTGTCTCAGCCCTGAGAAGCTCAGACCTCAAACTGAGCTTCCCTCTCGGAAAATAATTTGAAACTCTTTTGCAGTACTGCACCGTAATCACTTCTGTTGCAAAGCCCTAATAAAATCATTAAAGTATTATACATCAAAAAGCAAGCACTTCATCAGTGTTCTGCAGACAGTGATTGCTTCGTGGGTATATATTCGCTAACACTGCTTAGATGTGACATTCAATCTGTGGATGTAGGAATTTTCTGCTTAAACAGGAGGATCTATGTCCTTGTGGGCTCCCTGATACAGATCTGGTGATGCCAGTATGTCTGATTTTTTCCAGAGAAATGGGAAGGATAGAGAGTACGAATACTGCCAGGTCATTTCTACAAGAATAGGAAGCTTATTTTCATGCACTGTACAGATGTAGATTTGAATCCCCTGTCAGCTGCAGAAAAACATATCTATATATTTCTATAATCTGTGGAAAGAAAGAAAAAAAAAAAAGCAACAAATCAATCAGAGAAAGGAAGTGGAAGCAAAAAATTGTTGTTTTTTTGTTTCCTTCAAATCTGGAGAAATCAACACATTTTGCACACTCAGAACTTCCAGCAGTGCTGAAAGTCCCCAAAATATCATCCTCACAACCCTTCCTTAAACAAGCAAATTCTCCTTTTAGAGACTGGTAAAGAATCCAAAAAGGCTGCAGCATGAAGTGTCATAGCTATATCCCAGACACATCAAAAAAAGGGTAGTGTGACTGTAACTCAAAACAGTACCATATTAACCTTACACCTGCAGTAAGTTAAGCCAGTGCTAAACATCCAATGAAAAGATATACTTGAACGTAAGCAATATAGGTGGCCTGGTTTGGAAAGCATACAACTCTGTTATGGTCAACAAGCCTCATGAGAAAGGAAATCACGAGCCCCTTCTGCTAATAACAGCTCGATTTCACTGCTCTGAGATAGCCACCAAAGGATATTTGGAACTGCATAACCTTGATGTCACAAGACTAGGTCAGGTTCTCACTCTCTTGGAGACAATGATTTATCTGGGCATTTAATATACATCAGGGAACTCCCTCAATCCCACATCATGGGACAAATGAGTGAAATATATTGCTTGGGAGCCTGGATTATTAAACTAAAAGTTAGGGAAAGATAAAAATAAATATATTTTTCTTGCACTGTATCAGTATTCAGCAGGATGGGTGTAGCTATAAATCATGCCTCAGAACTGCCTAATGATCCTAGCTCCTAATTCCAGCTCCATGCATCTGTCTTCCTCTTACTCCTGCTCCATTCCCAATTAATCCAGGGTCAGCTGCATTCAGCCAACTCCATCTAGAGCTTCTTATGGGCATTTACATTTCACTTTCCAGCATTTCAAGATCTAAGCATGTAAGTCTTTGAGCTGGCTCTGGAAAGAGTTGACTGCTGAGTGTCACATATACCCTGCTCACACTTCAGCAGCCAAGCTCTGTCTCACTGACTAGAGCTGGCACTCTACTTGGGATAAACTCGTCCTAAATTCACTTGCCACAGATGCATCCTTATCCTGAATGACTCAGCTATCAAAGGCAGAGAAACCATTTCAGAAAAGGGAACAGCCCAATTTGACAGTGAGAAGTCTGCCCTCATCTGAATCAGCATCCCTGTTGATGCCCTTGTAAGCTTTGTGCACGAGAGGTGGAAAGTACATGAATTTTAAAAAGTCAGGCAACTTTGCTTTTTTTATTTATGCAGTAGCAAGACCCTGCAGCTAGGTAAATAAATGTTTTTGCAGTGTACAGACTATCGTACATACCTGATGTCCTATGCTCCCTGTCATCCCCCTACTCTCAAATACTCTGACACCTCTCACCTGCCTATCATTTAGCAGAGTGACATTCACCTAGTTAGTATGAAAAAGAACCATTAAGGATGGAAAAGACCTCTTGGAACATGTACAACTGTCAGCCCTCCATGACCCTCAGTGCCATCTGCCTTTTTCTTGAAAACCTCCATGGATGGTGACTCCACCACTTCCCTGGGTAGCCTGTTCCAATACCTCACTACCTCTTCTGAGACTAAATTTTTTCTAATAACCAACCTGAAGCTCCCCTAGAGTACCTTAAGGCTGTTACCTCTCATCCTGTCATCAGTTACTGGAAAGAAGAGTGCTATCTCCACCTTGCCACAACCTCCTTTTGAGGTAGTTCTGAAGTGTCCCCTGAGCCTCTTTTTCTCCAGATCAAACAATCCCAGACAGACAAGATATCCACACATTTAGATATCCACAAAAACTATCATTTTTCTAATAGCCAAGAATATAAATCTTCCAAATGCTCAGTGCTTTCTCTCCACCCATCTTCCACGTTAGAGGATATTCAAGGAAAAACATGCATCAACCTCAGAAGAAAAGGGTTCAAGTGGCAAAGGAGCAAGAAGTTAAGCCATGATTTGCAGCTGGGGAAGCAGAAAATGCTGCTCCAGAGGTCTCACCTGAAGAACTGACCCCCTGCTTGCTCCTGATCATAGAGATATATGCAGCTCACATGGCTCTCGTGATTCATGGTGTGCTGCTTTTCTGCTGGTGCAGCTCTCATGAGAGAAAGGCAGAGGTGCACATGGAGCATTCAGGCTACTTGCATGCATACATCTGGTGGTGAAATGGGGTCAATGTGTAGCATAGATCAGTGTTAGGACAAAAAGAATGGGACACTGAGGGGAAGGCAATTGCTGGTCTTATTCTGCTGGATACCCTGCAACTGTTCTATCTGGAGATGCAATAAGAAAAATAGGAAAAATCAAGGGAAACCTTTTGCGAGAGCCTGGGAAGAGGGGACAGACCATTAGGGTGGAAGGAGAGAGTGGGAGGAATTCTGGGGCTGACAACAGGAGCAGGGAAGCACAGTTAAAATCAAAAGATGCTACTTTTAGCTATCTGGACAATTAATGATAATTCCAAGATCACAAATAACTATTGCAATTAGTGCGTTATGGATTTATTTATGTAGCTGCTCAAGAAAAAAGAAAATTATCTAGCCACACTGTTGAAACACTCTGAATAGCCAAGGAATTGATTCTTAAATAAAAAAGGAGTAGTTTAGGAGCATGAGCACAAGAGATGTTCTGGGTGAGCAAAAGCCTTCCTGGACAAAGGATCTTCTGCAGTTACTGGGGTGGTTTATGCTACAAATAATTTTGTACATGTAAACATCTTTCCTGATTACACTGATCTATACAGGCTGACTCTTTACTCTCACATCCTCTCCTGTCCCCTAAATTTAGTTCAAAATCTTCCGACTATTATTACTGTAACTATTTTTATTTCTCCAGTTTGCAAAACAGTGTTGATGTGAATTAGAGCAGATCAGATGCGCAGATGATAGCAATGAATTGGAGAGAGAAGTAGAGAGACTGCAAACCTATCTGAGAGATTATATTGCATCAAAAAGGTGAGTCAAGTCCATCAGGCACTTCTTCAGATTGTAATGCTAATATAAAGAAATAGAAATCAAAATCTTGCCTCCATTCACAGCTGAACCTCATTAGGAAATGCAGTTATATATACAGAATCAGAACCATGTCCTAAATACTTGATTTTTTATGCAGGCTGCATGAAGGGAAGCAGCTTTAATAAATTGTGCTACGTTTGGAAAAGCCATTTTAATTCTCTAATTAGCATGCATACAATGAAAACTAACTGTGCATGTTTGTGTATACACATATCCAGAAGAGAGTTTAATGAACTGTATCTACTGCAAGCGAAATTGAAGTTTCGTTTTCTCTGTGCTATACCCTGTGATGCAAGTTTCAATGCCACAACACACATCTCTGCATATAAAATACCTTTCTTGTTCCTTTTCTTTCTTTTCCTCTTCAATTCACTGACTTTGGCAAAGAGGGGGAAAAAAAAAAGAAAGAAAAAAAAAGAACAGAAAGGAAAAAGCTACACAAGTACTCAAGCCTGGCTTCACATTAAAAAGCAACAAAACAAACAACCCACACACTACCACAAAAACACATCTTTCACTGTGGGCCATCATTTCCTGTTATCTACCTACCATTCTCTGCCTCCAAAAACCAGCACAAGCAAAGCTTTATACAATCAATACATGTCCTACAATCATTAATCACCAACAGAAAGGAACAAAATTAAGTGAGCCTGACAAAAAAAGTGTCCAGTTATGAATAAAAGGATGGAAGAAAGGGAGAGGATAGACGAGGGGAAAAAAATGAAAAGGTTGGGACACAGAGAGATGCAATTCAAAACAGACTCACAGTCCATCCTGAAGTTCTTGATTATCATTGGAGGTCCCCAGAGATCGAAGACTTCTTTCCAGAGAAGTCACTGTCAACAGCAGAGAAAGAAAAGGAGCATTTTCAGAGAAAAACATACTGGATTTTCACTCATCTTTTAATTTATTTCCTTTCAAAACCACACAATGAATTAGTATTTGAACAAGTACCTTGTGACAATATAAGGGAATGCCACTTAACACAAAACAGTTAAAACTGAGTCCCTAGGAGGTGATTATTCCATGGGTGGTGTGACAGGATAGAATAACTACTAATTAATCAATATTAACTACTCCAAATAGCCTCCAAGAAGTTGAGTTCTATCATTCATTCCATTATCTTTTAACTCACTGTTCAAGACTTTTATACTAACTCTTCTGTCTTTTAGCTCAGATAAAATGTGTCTTACTGTTATTATCTGCAGGTTAGCTAAGGAGTTCATTGGGCTTTTTCTATAAGGAGAGAAGAATGCTCAAGTCTAAGTGATTCTAATCAGAGCTGGAAGTAGGAAAGATGGTTCGTATAGCACTACACAGAAACTTCATATTTAAGAAAAAAATGCATAAATACTTGTGGGTGTTCACTGTCACATCTTCATTTCACACTAACAGAAGATCATTTATTTTGGACTGAGCATATCAAGTACATAAAGCACTTTAAGACATTCCACAATGAAAGATGCAATATGAATGACATTCTTACTCTTTACATCGGGGATTGTCTTGGGATGCTTCCAGCTGTAAGAACTTATGACCCTGTTATCAGTTACGCTTTAATATTTATGGAACAAAAAGAACACATAAGTAACATGGGTCAACTCTTCCAGTACAAATTTAAGATATCTATTATTTTAATGACTGCAGACTCCGTCTCAGTCTGTAGTTCTGAACAAGTCACTTAACTATTTTTCCCCTGACAGAAAAAAAAATTTCCCTCTTTTCTTCTGGGCTTCTGCGGGTTGACACCAAAAGACATATGGACACAAAAAAAGAACCAAATTAACTAATTACTGCCCTTGTACAACATGAGTATCCAACACCAACAGATATTTTCACCTTGCTTACTATACTGCTAGATCTCAAAAGCAGATTTCAGTACAGAGTTTGACAGTTCACTGAGACAAAACCTTAAGTAACTGTTCTACAGTTGAGCTAATAATTATTACACTTTGCTGGACGTACAGTTCTTAAAAGAATAAAGTGTCAGTCTTAAATTTGCTTTTTTAGGATAAAAGCACTGATCCTGAAAAAATCTCACAGATATTATAATTTCCTCCTTCTGCTCTGTAATCCTAACAATTCAAGTCTCCCATGCAACCTGTCTATTTCAAAGACAAAATTTAGTATCATCTAAAAATATTCCAGGACCTACCAGCCCCTTGGGGCATTTCAGAGCATGGTGCTTATTCTAATGCCATTGGAGAATAGAGAGTTATGGATTGATGGTTGGACTAGATAATCTTAGGAAAAAAGGTCTTTTCCAACCTTAATGATTCAGTGATTCCAGAATTCTATTTGTATAAAGGTCAGTAATCTCAATAGGACAAGCTCTGGAACAGCCAAAATGTTGGCATTTGATATGGCTCTTACCTGGGAAATAGCAGAACTGAAATGCAAACTTGAGCCTCCTGGATCTTAGTCTGACTTAGCTCTTTCATATTTTGGGATAGGAATACCTTGCTTTGGCTAAGATTAGTTCTATTGAAACCTGCATGATTCTTGTGCTGGATATGGAAAATCTCTTGGAAGTTACCAGTTCTGAATATTTGAGTTACCGAAGAAGCAGCATGTCAAGATGGGCTGGAGCAATGCCATGAAGCCAATGGTAGAACAGACTTCTTACTTCACAGGCCTTGCATATTTAATATTTAAAAGGCATATGCTAGTCTTCCAAGATGTTCCACAGAGGTCACTGCCGCTGGGCTTGTACTGATTTACATAAACTGAGAGTTAGCCACTGATTGCCTACATCATCAAAATTTTTAAAATCAATGGGGAATGAGAAACTACCCCAGGATGGAAATGGAGACTTTATCATACCTGTGGGATGCTGAAAAACCCTTTGCTCAGCCTCTCAGATCAAGATAATGGGATTGCATGTGGCACCAATCTGTCATGGGGAGATATTAATAAGGAAGTAACAGGAATTAGAGAGGGAAGAGACCCATTAGAGGACTCCTATTCTCCATCTGAGCAGAACAGCTCTGATTCTTGCAGTATACCCTCCAGTGATCAGCCCTTTAGCCACGAGGCATCAAGCCAGCTCCTTCTACAAGAGTTTATATATTTATTGGAACAGGCTGAATCAATTGAGTAAGAAAACATAAAACTCACCTAAGCCAAAGCCTTATCAGACAACCTTCCCTATGCTCAATAGGGAAAGTCCCTGAAGAACAGAGAGAAAGCAGGTAAAAAGTACAGGTAAAAGTTCCCACTACCCCTTGACAATTCTGTAAGAGATGACTTAAAAAAAAATGCCCCTATGTTCATGAACTGGCAGTAGAATGATGCAGTAGCTCATAAACATAAGCAATGGATCTAAGGTTTTTATTAAACACACAAGAAAGATGTCCATTTTTATAGCAGAAAGGGGGAGCACGAAGCATTTCAATGTAAGTTCTGCCAAGATCAGCTCAGAGCTGCAACGTTTCTCCTTGGTCAGAAGCCAAGGCCTCAAATGGCCAAGAAGAATTTAAATCACTTTAAAGGCTCAGATTTCTGCAAAAATAGTAAGGAGAGCAAAAAGAATCCAAACAACAGAAGTAAAGAGTAGAGAGCTCATAACACCTTTAACCTGTCGGTGAGAAAGCATTTCAGATGCCTAGTTTGGTTTCCAAACACAATGGAGAACCTGGAAGTCCCAAATGAGGTTGGGGTAAGGCAGGAAAAGGGAAACTGCCTGGATTTATGCAATCCTGAAGGACGTTCAATACACCATGCCTGGCACAACAGGAGCACAGGGCAACATCTGGTGAGCATGTGCAATGCAGCCACTCACTTTTTGCTCAGCTGCTTGTGTGCTGGTACACAAAAGCAGCACTGACTTTTGCTACGTGCTCTGAGACAGTTTGCTGGGTTTACTGAAGAGACCAGATGGTGCAGCTGTGCAAGGCAGAAGGGATCCTGGGCATCTTTTCCCATTTTACACCTCTGCAAAGCTCCTTATCTGGGCTGGATTAGCTGTGTAAAATTTTAGCAGTACATTCAGCATCTCCTCCCCTGAAAAGGTGGACGCACTGTTGGGGAAGGGCTTGTGAACAAGATGCAAACAAGTTGAATCAAACTTCCTTTAGCAGACAAAAATAACAGAGGTGGTGAAGAGCATAGTATCTTATGGGCATTTATTCAACCTAAAAGCACTTTAAAAAGCATTATAAATTCATAGATTCATAGATTTTAAAGGCCAGAGAGAGCTATTTTGATTATCCTGTCTGATTTCCTACCATAAAATTTCATCCCATCACTCCTATGTTGAGACCATAGACTGCAGCTGGACTAAAGTATCTCCTATAAAAAGACATTTGAATCTTGATTTAAAGGTTCGAAGCCACACTGCATCCATCACGTCCCTCCAATAAGCAGTTCTAATGGCTACTTACCCGCATACAGAAAGATTGAATTTGTCTAGCTTTGACTCCTATCTCCTGATCTCATTATCTGTGAGAATGTTAGATTAATGAGCCCTATGTATCTATTTGATGTCTTTCTTCCCAGAGAGGTACTTACAAGCCATGATCAAGCCCTCTCAGATGTCTCAAACAGAAATTTGGATGGCATGCATTTTAAAGTCCGATTTGCAGACTTCAAACAATCGCCTTAGCTCTTCTCTGTAACCTCTCCAATTTTACAAAACAGTTTTAAGTACAGGCACCACCAATATCTGCTTCAGAGAGCACTCTGTACAGGCAACTCCAACTGAAAGCAAATCTTCACTCACTCTAAGAGCGAGTCTTAAGAGGAGAAATAAAGACCACGTGAAATTACTCAAAACCTAATTGAAGGGATAAATGTAATGCAAAGAACAAAAGTAGAAATTGGATTGCAGCATCTCAACAAAGATAATGCATTCATCTTAAGGATTTCTCAGGGTAAACTCCACTAGAAGAGCAGGAATTGGGATTACAGCTCAGATATACTTTGTCAGCCCTAACCTGTCTAGCTTGGGTACTGACAGCAAACAAGCAGCCTGCAAAACTTCACAATGAATCCTTCATTGCCCACAGCCAGTATACTATTATATTATCATTATCAAAGTAGCACTGTTAGTGCTTGGAAAAAGTAAGACCAGTGCTAATTCAGGTTTTTCTGTATAATAAAGCCATACCCACATCTGTAAACCAAGTACCATTGGCTACAATTGAGAGGTTCAAGCTGCCACAGGCAGCCATAAGCCCTGGTCAAGGTATTGAGGTTTTCTCAAAGAAAAGATCAGGTAAAAGGACCAGGGAGTCCTGGTGGACAACAAGTAGAACTTAAACGAATAAGGTGTTCTTCCAGCAAGGAAAAGAATTGTATCTCAGGCCGCATTAGAGGGCAAGACTTCCATTCTGCTCAGCCCTGGGGAGGCCATACCTGGTTTAGTGGGTCCAGTTCTGGGCTCCCCAGTACAAGAGAAACATGAACATACTGGTGAGAGTCTAATGAAGAGGCACAGAGCTAATGAAGGGACGAGAGCACATTCACTACAAAGACAGGTTGGAACAGATGACCTCCAGAGCTTTCTTCCAATCACAACCACTCTGTGATCGAACAAATTTCTCGAGCTTCTGAAGTAGGTGGTTATACCTCACCCCAAGTACTATCAGTCCAATTGCTGCTCTCCACTATCACAAAGGACACACACAAAAATGCAGCACAAAGGCGACTCAACTTTTGCTCCTTGAAGAAGGCTGCAAAACTTGTGGCATGCAAGTAGTTTTCCAGAAGACCATAAATAACATGTTCCTTAAACAACTGTTCATGTAACATATCAATCAGTTATTCCTCTTAAAAATAACAACCACCAAAAAAACAAAAACAAAACCAGAAAACAACCATGAAGTGTCCTTTACCCATTTTTGCCTTCAACTCATTTAGAATCACGTTGTATGTGTAGCAGAACTACTGAAGAATCATAGACTCATGCAGAGCATCTCTGGAGGTCTCTAACATTCTGCTCCAAGCAGGTCCATTTGAAAGCAAGGTCCTACTCCAGCTCTGCGTATCTCCAAGAGCAGAGATCCCACAGCCTTCCTGGGCTCTCGCTGCCATGTTTAATCAACCAGATGGTCAGAATTCTTTTCACCACATTGAATTGTGATGTTCTGTGTTTCAGCCTGTGCTTACAGCCTCCCATTCTTCCACTATGAGCACTGTGACAGACGTGGCTCCATCTTTTCAACAGTTACTCTCTAGTTTCCCACTGAAATTAGAATAAGATCATTGTGAATTCACGTTCCACTTCTGATTCATTAGTACTCCCAGCTCTTTTCTTCAAAATGCATTTAAAGCAAGCAAACATCCATCCTATCTTGTTGTATGGGGTTATTCTACCGAAAGCACAGAAGGAAAGTGTGAAGAATTATTTTTCTTCTGATTTTACAGAAAACCAGGTACCCAAACACCTTCACAGAGCCTACCCAGCACCTGCTTTCACCTTCAACGTCACCTTCTCGGATAGTGGAGAGCAGCAAAATCTGACTGGTGAGAAGTATTTTGGTGCTACAGGTGGTCCTGAAGCTCTGACTCAAGATAAAGATGACTGTCAAAAGCAAACTCATATCTATCAATCCCTTACAGTCATAGAAAAATGTGTGCTCAAACTTGCCTGGCAGATGGAGGCATGACTGTACTGCAGCATGCAAAAAAATGCTTATAGACAAACAATGCCTATATTTCAGAAGAATTGCTTCCCATTCCCCTTTTAGCAAAGATCCCTTACTAGAAAGATTGAGACCTTTCCCCAGAATATATGGGGAGAATTAAAACAATTTGTGAGACACTAAAACCCTTTCTTTGCATCCCATCCAGCTCCATTTCTTACCTGATGCTCTTATACACAATCAGACCAGAGACAGAAGCTGATCTGGAGATTCAGAACATCAGCACTCAATGATCTTAAAACCTTGTCTGGCAGCAGTGCTTTAGAACTGGGATACAACAACATTAACTGCTATTCAACATTAGTTTTCACCTATCTGCAAAATGCAGCTCTACATTCTATCCCAGGTGAGGCATGATGAGCTAGAGCACGTCTCCAAAGAAGGGAAGAACTCTGCACCTCCACTGTGTTGGGAGATATGAGGATCATATTGATGACTGAGCATCACTGTTCAATCTTTAGAGCGAAGAGTAATAGAAGAGTTTTGGTGTTGGTGTTTTTATAAGGGAGATAGATGTTTTGCAGGTTGGTATGACAGGCTCTGAACACAGTAGTGCTGTGATACATTAGAAAATGAGCCTGGCTTGTTCCACCTTTCTGCGTTCTAATTCCCTATTGTAACAGATGACACGATTAAAAATAGAAAAGGATGTGGACTCCGTAAGAACTGGAATATATCTGAGCCTGTTTAATGCAACATATGGTGGAATATTTTTACATCTTATAATGAACTGCGTTTGGACATGTGCTGGTGCTCATGAGATGCAGCAGCAAGAAAACTGCATTAATATTTGCTCCCTGACAACAGGAGCTGTCACACACTGTGTACACGCACAGGAGCCATCAGCAGGACAGCACACAAACGACCAGGAAACCTCTTATTATACGCACCACTGGAGTTAATTCGGAAGACATTGGCTGAAGTCTCCTGAAAAAGTTCCTGTAGTTCACTGGGATCAATCTGGGTGGCTGCAAAGACAAAAAGAGAGATCTATTAATACTGGAGACCACCATCGCTTTGAAAGGGTCTCTAAACTCCCATCACAGCCTCTGAAAGGGGATGACCAGCAGAGAGCATCTATGATAGAGCTGTCACCAAAATATTACTTGTTATATATGCACATGCACAGGTTATGGCAAGGATGATGTGCTGTCACACTCAGCGCAGGGAACTGTCAATATTACCACCTCAAAATGCTATCTGATCACACAGGGAAACACCAGTAACACAGGGCTAGAGCATCATAAAAAGACGACAGATTTTCCTTCTCAAAGCAAAATTCTTGTAGGAAAAATAATACTTGCTCGTCTGAATCACAGTGTTGCTTCAACAAGAAGAGGACTGATGGGGAGCCCTATTCTGTCCCAACAGACAAATCATTTGCTGCTCAGCTGAATGATGTAATAAAACACTGAATCCAAACTCCTGCATGCATGCTCTCTTTAATAAAAATGACGATTAACCATTAATTCATCAGTGTGGGTTCCTCCTCACTGGAAATTTAGCCCAATTAGAGTGTCCAATGGAGCTTTACACAGTGCCAGATCATACAACATGCACTGGAAAGGCCAGATGCCTTTGCCAGCATCATCAGGACAGGAAAGGCAATGATCAGATATATCAGATATGGCTTACATGGATCAAGGCAGCCTCTGCAGGAATTATTAGCAATTGCAATAGTAATATTTCTGCTCATTTATCAAGTGGACATAGCAGAACTGCAAATGAATGAGAAACTGCAAGCACAATAACATAGATAGGCAGAGCAAGGTCCTGCCTTCAGAAAAGGGAGAGGAAGCAATGAGAAGAAAAAAAATGTTTGGGGCAGGTGGGGGATGGGAGCTCAAACAAGTTCTCAGCACATTCATCTTCCTGCACAGCATCCCTGGGATAGGCTTCTCTTATTATTTCTTCCTGATATCCCAACAGCAAGTGTTAAGGAGATAGTGCTAGTGGTGCTGCCCAGGTGACTTCCTTAAGTGCCACTTTGGCCAATGTACCTGAATCTTTCCTACAAGGAGAGCACAGAATAGGACAGAACATTTGAGTGCTTGGTTTAGTTTTAATGTTTTATTTTGTTTGGTTGGTAATCTTCATTCCCCAACATAAAGCCCCATAAAACTACTTGAAGTCCTCCAATGCTTCATCACTGCCAGAGAAAGGTGGGTGTGACGCTGGACTGAGCTATACTACAGAGAAAGGATATCTCATGTACCCTTAAAACCTTAAAAAAAGTCATATTTTGATAGATAATAGTCACCACAGGAAGTCGTTTGTCCACTTACACTTTTGGAACAAGGTCTAGAGCAGATTTTCCCAAGGTTTAGTCCCATTCGGACCCCACCTTTTGCAGTTTTATGGAAAACTGCTCTACCACAAATGTTGGCCAAGCTCAAAGCACCACAGTCCTTGTCCACTTGACATGCTACAGTGCATTCAAACCACTGCTGTTACTGGCACGCTGCACCTCTGAGCTGAAGCATTACATATACTCAGATAGGAGCTGTAGTTCATATTTCCAGGCAGCAGACTGTGACTGCAACACAGTCTGCATCCCTTCACCAGATCTCCCAATGCTGTTAAAATACCATGCTCTCAACATGCATTTGAAAGAGCAGAACGTCAGCAATAGGGCAAGGCAAAAGCTCTGCATCTTGAACAAAACGAAAAGCCCTCTTAATGCACTACTCAGGATGGCCCTGAGGATACGTCCCTCACCACTAAACCATGTCCCCCAGTGCCACAACTCCAGGGATAGTGACTCCACCACTTCAATGGGAAGCCTGTTCCAATGCCTGACCACACTTTCGGAGAATAAATCCTTCCCAACATCCAACCTAAACCTTTCCAATCACCATTCAAGGCCATTATCTCTTGTCTATCATCACGAGTTACCCCTGAGAAGAGGCCAACTCCCAGTTCACCACAACCTCCAAGCTGCTACGACCTCCTTTCAGGGAGTTGGAGGGAGTGATACAGTCTCCCCTGAACCTTTTTCTCTCCATGGCAAACAATCCCAGTTCCCTCATCACTTCCCCTAAGACTTGTGCTCCAATTCCCTCATCAGCTTTGTTGACCTTCTCTGGACATAAAGAACACAGAAATGTTAACAGCTGTGAAAAGAGCTTTCAGAAGCTTCCATGTTTTGGTATTGTGGGCCATGAAGTAGCATGATAGACATGGACATGTTATAATTGCCCAACATGGTGCTGCAAGATCTTGAGCAATTCCACTGGGAGGAGAGGCTGAGAGAGCAACCAGGAAGTTTTCCATTGCCTCTCACCCATCCCACATGCAGCAATACTTGTGTGAGACAATTCAGCCCTAACCCAGCCATAAATAAAGTCCTGAATCAGACTGTCAGGTTGACACAAATCCAGAGCATTAAATGGTGTTTAATCAAAGTGCACAGGGTCTTACTGCTAGAGATGTTCCCACTCTTCTCTTTCTACAGCTCCTCCTAAATCAGCTTTCCCATACACCACTTTCCTGCACTTTATATATGGGGCTATATAACACAAGAAATTAGCTTGTGCTTACCTGTCCCCTAGGAATTGCACTTGTTACTAACAAGATCCAGCTTTCATTAAATCACTGAGAAAGGAGCAGAACCAGATAAGATTTTAGATCTTTATAGACAGCAGTGACCTTGGTTTGGGGGAGTTTTGTTTGTTATTTTTAACATAACTCAAATTTCTGGGTTAGTAATATGGCAGTATAGGCTCCATCAGAGGCTATTGCACATCATGGGCATGATATGGCTTCAGTTTGGTTATAAATTTCTAATTGCATAGGGAATGATAGTGATGGAGGTTTTTTGAATGAGGTTTGGTTTTTTGGTTTCTTTTTTTTGGGGGGGGGGGAGAGGAGAGGAGAGAAGAGTTTATTTACGTGACTATATCCATTCTTTCCTTAAATATCCATCAGTGTTAAAAGCCCTGAATTTGATACATTTTTGTCCTGGCCCAGGGATCCTGTGTCCATACGCTCATACGAACTTTGATGAGGAAGTCCCAGATGAAGCATGATGCAAACAAGTCAGGGTTGTAAACTCCTCCAAGTCCTGAATTACAAGAACCGAGCAAGACACAGTACTATATTAATTGTCCCCCTCCACTCAAAATAACAAAGATTGCAGACTTCAATTTATTTCCACATCTAAAATATCTAGCAGAAACCTCCGGGGAAGGGAGGTGGAGGAATGATGTCTTTTAAAATGCCAAGCACACCCAAAAGCAAAAGCAAAATAACTTAAATGCTGCAAAAGACAGAAGCAGCATTCATTTCAGTGCCATACACACCTCTACTTTGTTGGACCTAGATGACCTTTAAGGTTCCTTCCAACCTAAGCCATCCTGTGGTTCTATAATTTTGGAGTTCCTGTAACACCAAGAGAAACAAACATCGAGCAGCACCGTGTGCCCACTGTTGGACCATAAAGGAATTATGTATAAATGTATAAAGTATATATGTATATGTATATATGTATAAAGTAACAAGCCAGAAATTTGGGTGCTAATTTGAGAAAGCGGGGTTTGTCCAATTTCCTGCAATTCACTCTACTGCATTTCCCTAATGGAAAGGAGGTGAACTCTGAAAGGATGATCTGTGAGTTCGTCCTTAACTTTTTAAGTCTAATCAGGATATATTTATTTTGGCTGAATGCAAGAGGACTCCACAGAATTGCAGAATCACAGAATGGCTTGGGTTGGAAAGGACCTCAAGGATCATAAAGCTTCAGCCCCCCTGCCACAGTCAGGGCCAACAACCTCCACATTTTATACTAGACCAGGTTGCCCAATGAAGTCCTCCTTCAAAGTTTTAAATCTCAATACAAAAACATCAAACAGCTGGTTCCTCTACAAGACAAGCTAAATGCAAAATCTGCAACAGGCTTACAGGGTCTCTTCTTTGCTGATCTGGATATAATTAATATCCAAAGGGAATAGCAAGAGGTGCAAGACAACATGCATGGCAAAGGCATCTACGTAAACATCCTTATGCTTAATGAAAACTGCTGTGTTTCTCATGTTAATCTTCCTTGCCTATTAATTCTTTCACATTAATTTGAAGCTCCTCATGACTTTTCTGCAGTCAGGTGAAGTCAATTGCCTCCATGAACTCAATTTTGTCACAAACACAAAATAACTCAAAAGTTACAGAAAAGAAGAGGCAGTAGTTACAATGACTCTAATAAAAAGGGAAAAGAGAAAAACGAGACAAGCATTCAATCTTTCTACTTACAATGCAAAACAAGACTGCAGTAAAGCAGCTCAGCACCTCAGTTTTTTAACACAAATATCCCCAGTGCACCACCTCAAGCTATGTGTGTCTCTGCAAAATAAAAGACAACCACAGATTTCCTGCATCTGCATTTTGCTCATGGGAAAGATTTATCTGAAGCTGTAACACCATCTTTTGCTAGAAGAAAAAAAGGAAAAGACAGAAGGAAAAAAAAAAAACACCTTTCAGCAGAAAATTACCTGGTATCTAAACTCCACTTCAGCACTTGGAAACTCCTGCAAGGAGTAAGTAAAGTTAAAAAGCAAGCTGTGCTCATCGAATTCAAACCACCCATCCCAAATCCTCAGTTTACCTACACCAAAAAGGATTATACAATTGGCTTTGCCTGTACTGAAATTCTGCAACTCAACTCTTTCACAACTTAGACAGATACATCTCACCCATTTACAGCCTTTTCCAGGACAAGGAGATCCATGGGAAGGCTTCAATTTCCTTCCTGAAGACTTTTCATAGCATTGACCTAAGCTATCCAAGAGACCTTTCTTGAAGATGATCAAAGGAGAAAAAGAGTACATATAAAACAACACTTGTCATAGGCAGAATAAAGAAAATGTCCCGGAAAACACACTAACAACACAGGCAAGAAATGGTGGATGCACAGCCACAAACACCTACACCCAGCACAGACTATCCTCTAGCATCTAGGACTCATCCAGGACAATCC